TCGTCCGTTGTATACGCGAAGATGTCCGTAAATTCCCTTATTAAATTGATCAACTTTGACCTGACCGGCTCCCCCAAGTATTTTCCGATTCTGAATTTTCGGTCATCGCATCCCTGCACCATTTGAATTTCCTCAATCTCCTCTCCGGGCTGTATATCTATCTTCTCCTTCCCCTTATCTTGTCCTCCCCTCTCCTCTTTCGATCGTGATCCTCCTGGTCGATCAGGCCTCACCTCTTTACCTTTCAACTGCCTCTCTGCCATCTGCTTGTTGTTACTGACTGTGGTCTGGTAGCAACTCCTCGACGTGAGTTGGTCCCCTGCAACCTCGCCTACATTTTCCCCCACAGGATATTTGATCGTCATGTGGTAGGTAGACACGACTGCTTGGAACGCATTTAAACCTGTCCGCCCTAGAATGATATTGTAAGACGATTCCGCTTCGACCACCACAAACCGGATCATTCTCACTTTCCTCGAGTCACCCGACCCCAATGCTACGGTCAGGCTCACTTCTCCCATTGGCATTACCTCCCCACCATTAAACCCGTATAAGGCTGTCGCCACCGATTTTAATTCCAGATTCAGGTGTTTGTTGATCTGCGCGAAACAATCGTAGAACATCACGTCGACCGAACTCCCCGTGTCGATGAACACTCTTTTTACATCGAATCCTGCCACTTCGGCCGTGATGACCAGTGCGTCATTGTGGGGTAACAAGATTCCTTCCGCATCTTCTGCTCGAAAACTTATCACCGGCATCCGACCAGTTATCCCGACTTCCTCTCTTTTACGCTTCACCGCCCGCACATGCCCCTTTCGTGCATTATTTGAATCCCCATCCGTTGGTCCTCCTGAGATCATGTAGATCGTGACCCTTTTCACAGGCACCTCCTCCCACAACTCCTCTCGATCATCGTTCTGTCGTCTCTTTCTTTCTCTCCTGGCATCGTCCTCTCCATCATCGTCTCTATCACTCCTTGCCGCATAATTTTCCCTGCATCTCCTCCTTTCTTTACCTCGTGGTCGATCGCGAATGACAAATTCTTTCAAGTGCCCAGCCCGTATAAGACGTTCGATCTCGTCTTTCAAGTGTCTACAATCGTCTGTATTATGTCCGTAGTCCCTATGAAATCTGCAGTATTTATTCGACCTAGGTTTGGTCGGTCCCTCGAACTTGGTCGATAGCCAGGTGACTTCCTTGCTTTCCAACTTCTCCTCTATGGCCGCTAAGACTTCGCCC